CTTAACATTTCAATTATTGTTGCATAATAAAGGTGGTTGGAGATATTTTATCAGCACTGAGAGTAAACAATGATTCCACATAACTCTACGAATATACTGGACATCGAGTTTCTGCTTTAAAGCATCGAAGTTGTGACATTTATGAAACATTTGCATTCATTTGAAGGAAGTAATCCAAATTCATTTTCAGCTATTTATCTGCGAATGATGTTAAAGCTTATTTCAATATGATTTCATCTGAATTGTTTTGTAGCACAGGGTGAAGGCGATGTATAGCCTACATTGTTCTCAAAGGCCTATTAGATTACTGCATTAATTCATTTTTTCGTGCATTACATAGATTTTCAATAATGAATTATATTAATAGGCTATTATATTTGCTTGATTAATATGTAACCTAGTGTTTTTAGATATAGGTCTGGCCATACTCGTTCCACAAGACCAATGCCGTGCAGGTTTTTTAAAAAGATATTTCTGACCATTTTTAGTACCACACATTTAAAAAGATTTCTACGCTTTGTCTGATCATGTCAAACTGTCAAGCAGCGTCATGCGAATCATTTAATTGGAAAGTAGGCTAATTCTGGCGATAATTTCGAATTACAATTTTTTTTTACATTTGCAAACATTTCTATCAATCCATTATTAATTAGTAGGCGACATCCGCAATGTTAGTATGTGCCTGAAATGTAGCGCAGGGGACATTAAGTGAGATCTAATGATGTGCTATTTTATAACGTAACGTACAAAATAAGGTCTTAAGGCTTCTTGCCTCTCAAATGGGCTATTTACTTTTAATGCATTTACACAAGCCCCTACTACGTTGTCTTCACTGGTTTTCGTGAGTGTATTTGTAGAACAAGAGGAGTAAAAGTACCTCTTTCAGAATCTGAACCTGAAATGAAAAACATGTAGGCAGCTAAATTTGCATACATTTCACTCAGTTTTTGAGAAGATATTAAATCCAAGCCTCGCTGTATTTTTGTTGGTGGTTGAAACTGTTACACCAAGTCTTATTTCAGTCCATTGAAATTACAGACACGTTTACAGATTTTAATTTTTTTGCCATCCACATATTGATTTAAATTAAATTGATTTATCATAAATCTTACTACCACAAACGTAACAGTAGTATATCTATTTTTTAAATAAACATCATCATTAATATGCTCTGTGAATTTGTAAATGTGAAATAGCATAGATATATTAAATAGTCCACAGTTGGCCTGCTCACAGGGCTAAAGTAGCCTATAATATAGTCTAAAAACAGTACGGCGGCCGTGGTTTACGTAAAATCTTGAGGAAACAATTGATTTTTAATGATGAGGAATGATGTGGCCTATGAACGGTCGCCTCGTCCATCTTCAAGGTACATTTAGAAGTGCATTGAATCTTCTGGATCTAGTGCAGCAACAATTCCCACATCCATCTGTACGCATGTTGACTTTGTCTTTTACACAGCTCAGCTATTGAGAAAGGGTCGAACAACGCTGAACGTTAATGGCTCAAGAAACCTTAAAAAGATCAAATAGGGACTTGGCTCCTAACATGCCAGTGTTTGCACGCCACCAGCGAGCTTATTTCCTGTGCTCTCTGCTGGATAGTGAGCTATACACACGGCTGCCCGCTAACTAAAAAAGCCCTGATTCTTTAACAGCACTCGAATTGATCAGTTTATCATTTTTCTGTGCTCCTCATAAACAGCTATGCTGTGTGCACATAATAATAATAATAATGATAACAACAACAACAACAAAAGTAGGAATTAATCTATTGTTTTAAATCACCTTAAATAGCCTAACTGGCTGATATTATTCAACATTAAAGTAACAGTTTCTGAGCTGTTTCGCAGATAATGGTCAAAAATATTATTGAATGTATTTTAAAGAATTATTCCAAAACGAAGGGGGTTTATTAACTTAACCGCAACACATTTTTGTGTTTGAATTTATTAGCCTGCAATTCAATTGAAAAATAAATAAATAAAACACAAATATATTTTTTGGGAACATTTCTGTCATGGAGTACGATATCCTCGTATAGGATACTATAGCCGCTCATCCTGTGTGCTAATTTCAGAAAACATAAAACCGACTTAAAATGATTGAAATACATTTGATTATTTGTTAACGCATCCACGGTTTTATAATCACACTGATAATCGACTCCTGTAATAGGTCAGAATAATATTCATATTTAAATGTTTAACGTGTATTAGTATTATTTATACAAATAACACAAGCCTAAATATTAGCCTACGTCTCTTTACTCTATCGTCTTGCTATAATTCCAGAAGTGCCAGACCACTGTGCCAAGACATCAGATAACCAAAGCTGCAATGAAAACGTTGATCAAGAGACGTTCATGTTGAATCTGTGGCATCACAAGCAGTAGTATAATACCTTTGTGCTCCTGTTTACAACGCACCCGGAGATGTGTGCTTGTTTCCTGCCAGACGGTCTAGCCTTCAATGACAGCAAGGGCCCTGGCTAGACTGCAACTTTCAACTTGACCTTGGCCTCCAGCCGTGTGTAACTCAAATGTAAACGAGTCTTGCCAAATTGTGGGCTGGATTTCTAGCCGTATAGAGTAATAAACTGGTGGTCATTTTCATAAAGTGTGATTTGCTATTTGACAATTTCATGGGGCTCGAAATGGTGGTTCACTGTGGCTGTGCAACATTTTGTAGAGTAATATATATATATATATACATATATATATATATATATAAAGAAAATAGCCACTTTAAGACTTTTTGGTTCCTTATTTAAATTTCACATCATCAAATGGCTTGGAAGACAAGCAAATATTAAAAAAAAAAAAAGCAGCATAGGAAAAGAAGGTGAGTTCGACAAAAGTTAAGCTGCCGCGTTAGCTTTATCATTACTGTTAACTGTTTTAATAGTATGTGAGACAAATTTGTAATAATCTCACTGTTAAATTGTAGGCTATACTTATAAAGGAAGGTGCGTAATATGTACCAGTCCCATTGCGCAATGGAATGGCACTTGGTTTCCTCGTCAGGATAAAGCTTATCGCCAGAATCTTTATAGCAATTTTTGACCAAATCCCTCCACTTTGTTTCAGTTCAGTGCAGTATGAATACCTTTGTGCTCCTGTTTACAACGCACCCGGAGATGTGTGCTTGTTTCCTGCCAGACGGTCTAGCCTTCAATGACAGCAAGGGCCCTGGCTAGACTGCAACTTTCAACTTGACCTTGGCCTCCAGCCGTGTGTAACTCAAATGTAAACGAGTCTTGCCAAATTGTGGGCTGGATTTCTAGCCGTATAGAGTAATAAACTGGTGGTCATTTTCATAAAGTGTGATTTGCTATTTGACAATTTCATGGGGCTCGAAATGGTGGTTCACTGTGGCTGTGCAACATTTTGTAGAGTAATATATATATATATATACATATATATATATATATATAAAGAAAATAGCCACTTTAAGACTTTTTGGTTCCTTATTTAAATTTCACATCATCAAATGGCTTGGAAGACAAGCAAATATTAAAAAAAAAAAAAGCAGCATAGGAAAAGAAGGTGAGTTCGACAAAAGTTAAGCTGCCGCGTTAGCTTTATCATTACTGTTAACTGTTTTAATAGTATGTGAGACAAATTTGTAATAATCTCACTGTTAAATTGTAGGCTATACTTATAAAGGAAGGTGCGTAATATGTACCAGTCCCATTGCGCAATGGAATGGCACTTGGTTTCCTCGTCAGGATAAAGCTTATCGCCAGAATCTTTATAGCTATTTTTGACCAAATCCCTTCACTTTGTTTCAGTTCAGTGCAGTATGCTTGTCTTGCTAGATCGGCGTTATCTCCAGTTTAGACGTTTATCAGCCTCTTCGCATGTCACGTGCCTCCGCTCGTCCAATAATAGTTGGATCTTGACGCACACGGGACGCATGGGGATCTGTTACTCCACTGATCCACTGCTTCCCTTTCAGTCTTGGGGAATTCTAAAAGAGCTGGTAGGCTCCATGTAGGGCGTGCTATGACCGCGTCTTTACTCCTCCACTCCTGCTGGATTGACCCGGTGATGTTTCTCTATGACAACGGCTTGGATGATATGAGCAAAAACATGGAAGGATTTCTGGGAGGCAATTTTGCTGCTAACCAGTGCAGAAATCTTATTGCCCACCCGTCTTCTTTGGCCCCGAGCACAACCTACACGTCGAGTGAGGTGCCAGGATCGGGCATGGGGGAACCTGTCAAGCAATGCAGTCCGTGTTCAGCCGTACAGAACTCTCCCAGTGCTTCTTTGCCCTATGGATATTTTGGCGGCAGCTATTACCCGTGTAGGATGCCCAAGTCCTGCACGCAGCCCACCTCCTATGGGGAAAAATACATGGACACGTCTGTTTCTGGAGAGGAGTTCCCTTCTCGCGCTAAGGAGTTTGCCTTCTACCAGGGTTACTCGTCTGGCCCTTACCAGCCTGTACCGAGTTATCTTGACGTGCCAGTCGTACCTGCGCTGAGCACCCCTGTGGAACCCAGACACGAGTCTCTTCTGCCGGTTGAAACGTACCAGCCCTGGGCAATCACGAACGGATGGAGCAGTCCGATGTATTGCCCTAAAGACCAAACGCAGTCAAACAGCTTATGGAAATCGTCTATTCAAGGTAAAAAAAAAAATGCTGTATTTCTGTTTAATATCTTAGTGCGTAATAGCCAACGCACTAGGGATTTAGGCTAAACGAAAAATGTAGTGTGCGTAAAATTGACCTTTAGGCCTACGAATAGCAAGTGTTATTTAAAAACGAAGGGGCTTACTAGAAGTCCCTCGTCAGGTACAATTTTTTATTCTCACCACTTTTCATGATTGCAAATAGTTTTTATGCGAATAGCCTATTTCGTTCGACGTTTAGGTGTTTTATTTGTTGCACTGCTTTGAAGACACATTGTGTTTTTATTTTCTAGTTTATTATTTGACATTTCTGGCATGAACATCTATTTTCATCACGCTTTGGCAACTTATTTTGGTTTTCTTCTGACCCCTAGATTCTGTCTCGGGTACCGATGGAGCCTCAGTGCGTCGAGGGAGAAAGAAGCGGGTTCCCTACACCAAGGTCCAATTGAAGGAACTAGAACGAGAATATGCCACAAATAAGTTCATTACTAAGGACAAACGAAGAAGGATATCTGCTCACACAAACCTGACCGAGCGACAAGTGACCATCTGGTTTCAAAACAGGCGGGTGAAAGAGAAGAAAGTGGTCATCAAGTACAAGGGCATCAGTTAAGGTCTGAAAGAATTCAAAACTGAAATACCAAAGGGGTATAAATGGAAGGACCTTCAACATTATTTATTCTGAAATCCATTCCATCATCTGTTCCACGTCAAGAGACTATGCGGAGATGCGCAGGAGGGGACATTTATATTTGACTTCCCTGTGTAGGCCTACATATTACCAGGACACTGACACTGATAAAAGGCGAAGAACAATGAACCCATATTCACCACTTGATTTTTTATTCGTTTTAATCTATAATGTATTTGGCAAAGACGTGGGAGGAATGTAAAATAGCTTTCAACTAAGAAAATCAGTGAAGTAAACAGACAAAATCATGGAAATTGTGTATTTTTTTATTTTTACACATCAAAAACAACTGCACCTTTTAGACTGTGGATTTGCATGCTACGCTAACTGTACAGTAAATTTACCCCAAGTCGTGACAGATTTTTCTTTTGAGCTTTTATTTTCCCTATACGCACATTTGTAAATAGCCTACAAAGTCGCTTCCAGGCACCTGCGAAATATACAAATTCATTCATGTGTTACTGCAGACAGTATTCAAATAAAACTCCCCATATTAAACGATGTACTACTATATTTGTATCTTTATAATTACTACGAATGTCAACAGTCTGCCAAATTGTTTAACACAAATGCATAAACAGTACAAATGTCTATCGCAAATGATCAGTTTCTTTTTAATGTATTGATTTAATTCAATTTCCAGAAACGAATGAGTAAAATAGAAGGACATCAGCTGCTAATACGAATGGGTGAATAATGGCTGTGATATTGTTGTCTTTAGCCAAATCACTGATGAGAAGTTAAAAGTGATTTTTTTGTTTGTCCCAGAACAAATGTTCTCCAAGAACCCTTTTCCGTGGGCGTAACGGTGCTGCCACCTAGTGGCATAAATATCTATTTGCCTTGACTTCCCGCAGATGGTTCATTGTTCCTCATATTAGTATTTGAGAAAAACCATCTGAAATCTAAGAATACGAGATTTATGTGTTTGCGTTATTAAATAGCAAAGCACTTAAAAGTTTGTATAATAATCCGTTTAGCATATTTCCAGTCATCTGATACAACGATGACTTCGGATCCCAAAAGTCAGTAGTAGGTAAAATAGGTATAAAATCAGTGTTTGAGTCGATGTTTTGTGTGCTTTTTAAAATTTATTTTGCCATGTAAATGAACCAACTTGAATCTGAATCATACAGTCAAAAATAAAAATTCGAGAAAGAGGTGAGTGAAAGGCAGAGGAAAAAGTTTGAAGTCCGATATTAGTAGCCTATTTTCTTCCCTGTGAAATCCAGTTAAAGTATGTTTTGCCATGTAATTGCCATGTTGTGCCATGCCTTTCCGAAACAAAATTACAAAATAAGGTTTCAACCTTTTCCTTCTTTCACATTTCAACTAGCAAGCATTTACAATAGACACTATAATTTAAAAAATGAAACAAAATATAAATACATAAATTGCAGCAAAACGTCTTGCTGAAATCAATTTACACAAATAAGAGACAACCCTAACACAACGACATCTGAAATAAAGAAAACGAAAGAAAAAAAAGAAACCTTTACAAAAACAGAAAACGAATAAAAAGACGTAGAATTCATTCCAATAAAATGTGTGAAGGAAAACTGGCAAAGTGACAGCTTCAAATTAATATATTTATTTCTATTCGTATTATTTATTTAGAGACTTTGGAATATTATTAGCTATATAGTTTATTATAGTTTACTTACCCAACAAATGCATTTTAGAATGCATACATTCGGTATACCAATTGCTTAAGTTAAATCCAAACCCAATGCCACTAAAGACACTAACACTATACAATAAACACTAGCACCAGAAATGCAATCCTATTAAATACTTGGCTTTTTATTATTGCATTAGCGAAATTAATCAAGCCACATCGAGTAAAGTTTCACCACCAACATTTTTAATCTGAAAAACGATAACAGCAGTTAATTTCTGTAGTCTACTTTTTTTAAAGAACCAGAAAGATGTAATTTTTCATCAACTTCTTGCGCTTGTCACAGAGCTGATACAATTGCATTTCAAATAAGATGATACATTTTAATCGTTACTGTTTCATTAAACAACTGCCCATTGATTCTATTCTACAAATGCATAAAATAACAAAACCTTTACATTTAGAGAGAATTCGTAATTCGTTTCTCACTGCTGAATAGTCACAGATAAATGATCTCTCTGTGGGACGTGAAGGCAGCCTGTGAGCTGTGGAAAAACGTCCGAGCAGACGGAAAATGTGGAGAGAAGCACATGGACGGGATTCACTGTTTGCGTTTCAACGAGCATTTTAATTTGGACTGTGCTGCCACCCAAAGGCAATAAAGGAAATTACATTTTAGTAAACCAGCGGTTCTCAGTGTTGGAGATGGTCTGTGTAAAATTAAATTTAGTCTGCTAAATGCATCAATTATTATTATTATAATTATAATTAGATACTTTTGAGTAGAGTGTAGCCTATAATAATGTTACATGTTATAACATTTTACTTACCGGTCAAATTAAATAGGCTATGTGATGTTTATATGCTCTCGGATATGATTCCTTTTATAGGCTATACAAACATAATGTAGCGTGATCCCCGAACACAAGTTAAGGGAGATATGAAACAGTAATATGCTATTGTTGCCTCCTTATTTTTCCGCAATAACAAGCAACAACGACAACAAATCCATTGCCATTTTCTTTCATTGCTCATACGAAAAACAACATTTTAACATTAGGTGCTCGTCTCATACAATTGCATTTCAAATAAGATGATACATTTTAATCGTTACTGTTTCATTAAACAACTGCCCATTGATTCTATTCTACAAATGCATAAAATAACAAAACCTTTACATTTAGAGAGAATTCGTAATTCGTTTCTCACTGCTGAATAGTCACAGATAAATGATCTCTCTGTGGGACGTGAAGGCAGCCTGTGAGCTGTGGAAAAACGTCCGAGCAGACGGAAAATGTGGAGAGAAGCACATGGACGGGATTCACTGTTTGCGTTTCAACAAGCATTTTAATTTGGACTGTGCTGCCACCCAAAGGCAATAAAGGAAATTACATTTTAGTAAACCAGCGGTTCTCAGTGTTGGAGACGGTCTGTGTAAAATTAAATTTAGTCTGCTAAATGCATCAATTATTATTTTTATAATTATAATTAGATACTTTTGAGTAGAGTGTAGCCTATAATAATGTTACATGTTATAACATTTTACTTATCGGTCAAATTAAATAGGCTATGTGATGTTTATATGCTCTCGGATATGATTCATTTGATAGGCTATACAAACATAATGTAGCGTGATCCCCGAACACAAGTTAAGGGAGATATGAAACAGTAATATGCTATTGTTGCCTCCTTATTTTTCCGCAATAACAAGCAACAACGACAACAAATCCATTGCCATTTTCTTTCATTGCTCATACGAAAAACAACATTTTAACATTAGGTGCTCGTCTCTATAATTACTTTTTTTGCAGGTCTACTGCAGAAATAACTAGAATGTTTATAAACCAACTGTACATTTTGAAGAACTTCTCGTACACACAGGCTGATTTTATATAGGCTACTCGTTTCATATATTCATTTTATCAAAGTGATAAACTCTTTAGGCACACAACATTTGTATTGTAGTTTCAAACTTTTTAGTTTTTGTTTACAGACGCAATGTTTTAGTGTTTTTACTTCAAAAGATGACCTAACAACGCGTTTAGTAATCTCCTTTCTAGGCTACTATTGATAGAATATTATAATTCATTGACATGCCTTTTACAATTAATATTTAGATTATTATATCAAGTCAAAAGATTTACTGAATGAGACGAAAGCGTTCTATAAAAGTGTTTTAATAGTAACTTTTTCGGCCTGTCTATTTTATGGCATTTATTGCCCAGAGAAAGACGCACAAAGCCGTTCGTATCAACAGTTATTTTGGGGAATATTGTTTTATATATATATATATATAGTATGTATGTATGTATACAAACTCATCTAAGCGGTTACGGAGTTAAAAACGTACAAATACACATACCATGTCCAACCCTATATTTTCAAAGAGCCTTTATAATGGCAGCATCGTACGTCAATATAGGGAGAAAAATTGTTTTAAAGTGGGCCCACAACTGCACTGCGACAAAATGCAGGGAAAAGACAATCTGTGCTAATTAAATGCACCAAAGCGTATAAGGCCACTTCACAGTAATATCACATTTTCACATCAAACTGACATTGTCGTTTCTTTTATTAATCACAAGCAAATGTCTTCTATAAAACCGCTTTTTCAAGCAAATTAAAAGAGGACTATAATCGATGAATGCATTCTTTTTGCTACGATCATGATTTTAAATGATTTTGTTATAAAACGGCACGTTTAGCCCATTTCTAAATGGCATTAAAGTGTTATTTCTATTTACAATAATAATACGTTTCTAGACAGCACTGAAGATCATCTATAATTCAGATATTCCAATCAAAGATCTTTGCTATTTGAAACGGTTGTGGAATTAACTGGAAGTCAAATATAATTATGAGCGAGCGTTACCGCTTTTACACGACAACCGAACGTATTACAATCTCAGATGAGAAGTTTGGGGGAGAAAAAAAATCCAAAGCCACAGCTTTTCAAAATGGACTGAAAAAGACGTCTAACGCAGAACACCTTTCATTTGTTCTTAGTAGTATGTAGCCTATGAAGTGATGACAAATTGGCTTGGACTGTAGCAATTACTGTGCTTCTCGAGAAAGAAGTGCTAACTTGAGCCAGTGCGAAAAGTTATCGGTCATTTGCCTGATACCCTGATTCGGGTGAGTCTACAGAAAATGCCAAAGTTTCGTGCAATATTACAATTACTGGTGGAAACCCGGGCGCTGTTTGGGCTATTTGTAAACAACCACTTACACAAGTGACCCTCACCCTTCCACGAACTTGAGGTCTTGTTCTCAAACTCTTAAACATGGCAAAACTAAATGCAAAGTTGAATCTGTTT